GTTTAATGACGAATCCGCATAGCGATGTGGATTTTGCAATCACAAAAGCGATCGCATTGCGATGGTTTTAATGGCTAAAAATTGCATTGCGATGATCGGTAAGCGTTTTGCTTACTGATTAGCGCATTGCGATGTTTAGAAAACAGCTGATCAGTGGTTCCAAAATGGCCTGCAGCGTTTTCGCTTGGTTTCCTCACATACCGGGCGGCGAAAATGGCGGATGGAGGATTTCCGCATAGCGGTGAGTTTCCCCCTCATAGGAACGCATTAAACGGGGCTTAATGCGTTCCTATGGGGTTTTTTGTTCTGTATAGCGATGATTCCAGATAGCGATGATTTTCCTGGAACGGATTATCGTTGCTATGCGGGACACCACTGTATGTAGTTAATTTAACTTCAGGTAGAAGTTAAGATGGAAGAGATGTACATTAATCTGCTCAACCTTTGAGGAAGAAGGGATGTGCTTTTTGTCTGTGATCTGAATTTGCTTGCTTTTTAAACTGTAGCTTTTCTCTTAACTTTTTACTTTAAACTGAAAGAGTTTTCGGTGTTCAGAATACACAGTATCACAGAAGTTAAATCAGACAGTAATTCTCGACTCTGTACCTACCTCCTTCAGCATTTTATATACAATAAAATAGGCCCAGAAATCAGTCAGAGAGTAATGGTCATCCCTTGCCGCCACCAGCAGAGTCTTTTTTGCCTTTATAAAGTCCCATTTGCCTTTGACAAGTTTTTCACGCTGAAGTTTTTCCAACGTCTCCATTTTTTCTGACCAGTCTTCATTTTTGTAGAGGGACGACATACACCTTTATTGAAATGGAGGAAATATGTCTGATTTTTAGAAAAGAATAATGGCCTTTAGCTGTGATCCTAAATTTGCATTTTTTTTCCAAAGTGCTCTTGACTAAGAAATAAGAACTCCCAAAGCTGATGAAAAGACCTCATGCTTCTTTTATTTTTAATCTCAGCTGGACTATGGAGACCAGATTGTTCAACAAGAAGTTACCCAACCATGGTGGTACATCTTACTGTA